GGGGGGGGTGATAGACAGTGCCTTCTATGTTTACACATATCCCAGGTGAAATTTGATAAGTCGACCTGTTTTTGAGGCAACGATTCAGATTCAGATAAGCCACAATTGTTGATTTTTTTTTTCAGGCAGACTGGTTTTTTTTTTTCTTGTCAGCCTTGAGTCCTGCTGGAATTTCGATCCCAAGATGGCCAGATTTGTGGGCATTCCACTGGTCCGTGCTTATTAGCTCCGGCCAAGGTCATCTCCAACATGCTGGTGAGTTCCAGAAGCCACAAGTGGCCTGTGATTCTCACAAATCGCTTCCGTCTTACGGTTTAGCTCGTAAATCAGCTGATTTTGAGTACTCAAAGCATGAACCAAACCTTCACACAGACTCGGCAGTTTTGCCATTGCCGAAACTGCTGCCATCGTCTTCCTCAATAGCCGATAACATAGGAATCTGCCGATGCCAAAAAGCAGAAACCCTGCTATCATGATTCCAATTATATAAGCATCTTCGTTGTCCTCCTGAGACAATAAGGAGAGACACATCAGCTCCCAAACTCCCCACGGATCCATGACGTATCCTGTCGCATGCGTCTCAGCAGGGCATGAGGGCTCTCCAGGACCCTGTCGTTTTGTTGAAAAGATTTTGTCGATTGCGTTGAAAATTCAGCTGCCCAGATCCATGACAGTAGTTTTATTTTCGGAATATGTGTAATAGGAGCTTCGATACACAGACGAAGAGCAAAAAAGCAGGAGGAGAACAGAAGAGGGAGAGAAAAGGCGTCCGCCTTGCACGAGAGCGAGTGCAGAAAAACATGCAGTTAGCATTAAGTAATTAGTCTTCTGAGAGCTGGTGGGATATTTTGTCTCAAGAAAAGAAACATGTCCAACTGGGAAGAAACCTCAGGGGAAGACTCGTCTGCATGAGACTATGTCTCTCAGCTGGCTTGGGATCACCTTGAAGTCCTCCCAGAAGAGCTGGAAGAGGTGTTTGGACCACCCTGCTCAAGCTGCTGCCCCCACAATCCAACTGGACCAAACTGAAGATAATGGATAAAGAAATTAATAAAACATTTCTTTAGAGTGAATTATATTTAGAGAAAACATCGTGGATACTGGTATTCTAACATACAACACCAATAAAACACCTAGAGCATTTAAGCAACGCAGTGCGAGGGTGAAAATAGGTTTCTCTTTGTTGAACAAAATCTACATAAAACTTAAAACTCAAATAATATTTTTCGTTATAATATCCAGGTTTGTTTGTAAAAAATGGACAATATTCCCGGACTGTCAAAGGATGCTCCGTTTGAAGCATGAAAAGCAGTTTTTGTGTTTGTTGTCGATAATTAAACCCACCTGAACTGAAGCTGCGAGCAGTAAGGCGCTATTAACACGTGCAGGCGGAGGAATGTATGCAGCGTTAGAGCCGAGCTTTTGACGGGGTTAAAGAGGAGAGGCGGAGGTTTGCAGCTTGTTAAAGAGGTGGCGTTTGATTTGGCAGTGACGCTTGTTTCTGTTGTTGACCTTGCTATGGATCAAAAAAGATGCAAGGATATGAATGAAGGAGTTTCTGGGACTGTTTGAGTTTTCACCACATGCAACCATAATGTTTACTTAAGATCTCATTTATTATATTCCAAATTGTTTACACTCTGCTTACTAGAAGACATTTTTTGCCATGTGAAATGATCCTCCTCATGTTAGCACGAGCAGCTGCAGCATTTAATTTGAAACACAAAAGACGAAAAACTACATTTTCTTGTTTTTCTGAAAGGGACGGGTGAGCTGAGTGACGTTTTCACAAAGTGGCGTTTCTCTTTTCTCCTTTTCGCCTGCGCCTCCGTGGCGCCGCAGTGACTCACCGTGAAGTCGACTGCAGCGAGCTCAGTCGCAGTTTGGGACGTGTCAGAACCGATCAAGTGGTACAGTCCACTTAGAGTGAGAAAAATAACCAGGTTGGAGAAAGAAAAGGAAGAGGTGGCGCTCCGAAGCGTTACTTTTTCTTTTTTTTTTTTTTTTAACAAGCTTTGAGAGCAGAAACACACCCAGATAGAGAAATTAGCTTTGACTGAAGGACCTGCTGGACCAAATTACTGCACTACAAATCTATTAAAAACAAATTGTTGTATTCTGTCAGTGCAGCTGCTCTCACACAAATCTGGAATATTTGCATCCCATTTATCCCAATCCAGAAGTTATGCTTATGTAATATCCTATTAAGTGTAAATATGGAAGCTTTACGTGTTCTCCTTTTTATAATTTTCATGAACATTCAAGACTAAAGTAAGAAAGACTGATGATAAAGGAAAACTAGAGAAATTGCATTTCCTGTGAAAACGCAGTGTGAATGCTTATTGCTGAAGAACTTGCTGAAAAACAGCTGAAATTAACATAAAACATGCTGAAATGTAGCTGAAATGGAAGAACAAGCCTAAATTAGTAGAAGAAAGCAGAAAAAATACACATTTGCTGAAATAGGTTTAAATAAACAGAAATTAGCACAATTAGGAAAGTAGCTAAAAAAAAGCTGAAATTAGCAACAAAAAAAGGTTGAAATTTAGCTGAAAGGCAGAAAGAAGCTTAACCTACCAGAAGGAAGAAGAAAGAGCTGAAATTACCTAAAAAATGTGGAATTGGCTGAAAAAGCTAAAATTAGCATGAAGCAGCTAAATAGTAGTTGAAATAGCAGAAATGGCTGAAATTAGCATAATTAAGCTGAAAGGAGCATAGCAAGCTGAAATTAGCAAAACAATAATTAAGTCCACTGAAAGTAGCAGAAATTACCACGAAAAACTTGAATTTATCTGGAAAATGCCGAAATCAGCTAAAAATTGCTAAATGTTAGCTGAACAGGTAGAACAAGCTTAAATTAGCAGAAGAGAGCAGAAAGAGCATGTTTGCCTAATTAGGCTGAAAGAAGCGGAAATGAGCACAGAAAAGTGGAAATTATCTGAACAAAGCTGAAATTAGCAACGCCAAAAAGAACAACAACAAAAAAAAAAAAACAGCTGAAAAATGGCTAAAAAAAAAGAAAGAAACAAATTACCAGAAGGAAGTACTCAAGGTGTGTAAAATGAGCTCGAGAACACATTTTTGATTAATTGGGTAGAAACATTTTAAATTAGTACAAATGTGGAATTAGTTGAAAAGGCTAAAATTAGCATAAAACAGCTAAATAGTAGCTGAAATAGTAGAAAAAGCTTAAACTTGCCTAAATATGCTGAAAGGAGCATAACAAGCTGAAATTCATTCAACCTTTATTTAAACCGGTTTGAATCAGCACCTCCAAATCTGAGGCCATGGTCCTCAACCGGAAAAGGGTGGATTGCTCTCTCCAGATCGAGGATGAGGTTCTGCCTCAAGTGGAGGAGTTCAAGTGTCTCGGAATCTGCAGTATTGCGGACTCTGTACCGGTCCATTGTGGTGAAACGAGAGAGGAGCAAAACTCTCTGTTTACCGGTCGGTCTACGTTCCTACACTCACCTATGGTCACGAGCTCTGGGTAGTGACCGAAAGAATGAGATTGTGGATGCAGGCAGTTGAAATGAGTTTCCTCCGCAGGGTAGCTGGACTCTCCCTTAGAGATAGGGTGAGAAGTTTGGTTATTCGGGAGAGACTCGGAGTAGAACCGCTGCTCCTCCACATCGAGAGGAGCCAGTTGAGGTGGTTCGGGCGTCTGGTAAGGATGCTTCCTGGATGCCTCCCTAGGGAGGTGCTTCGGGCATGTCCGACTGGGAGGAGACCCTGGGGAAGACGCAGGACATTCTGGAGAGACTATGTCTCTCAGTTGGCCTGCCTTGGAATCCTCCCAGAAGAGCTGGAAGAGGTGCTGTGGAAAGAGATGTCTGGCCCTCCCTGCTCAAGCTGCTGCCCCCGCGACCCAACTTTGGAATAAGAGGAAGATGATGGATGGATGGTTAGTCCCATTGAGCCACGGGGAATCATTTACAAGAGAGACCTGGATTAGCAGAAAGAAGTTGGAAGCAGCACAAAAATGTTGGTTAGTAAAATAATCTGAAAGGGGCACAAACCTTCTGAAAAAACAGCTGAAATTAGCTTAAAATAGCTGCGGAAATAAAGTTTAAATTTGCACCGGAAGCTGAAAGAAGCTGAACCAGAACAAAATGTGAAAGGAGCAGTAAACGGTTGTAAACAGATCTAAAGACCTGAAGGGTGTAAAATGAGCTCAGTTCATTTTCCATGAGGGAAAAATGGCATAAAATATATATTTCAAAAAGCCAAAGTAGCACCAATACCACAAGTCATTGCAGGATTGTCCTGAATGAGCTGAACTTTTTGATTTATGATTTGTTGAAATAGCACAAAAATTGTGGAACGAAAAACGTACGGGAGAAAAATGGATCCCAATAGTGTGAATGCTTCATAAACATTCACATAAAAATAGATTTAGGGTAAAGATACAAGTTAGGTACATCCAGTCAGTATCATTGTGCAATATCCTGATGCTCAGTAATCCAGGTAGAAAAATCTAAAAAAGTTAAATCTGTTCTTCTGGACATTCAAAAAACTAAACAAAACAAACAACCAAAAAAAAAAAAAAATAAAATAAAATCTTTTTTCTGTTGTTTGTTGTGCTTTCTTTTGTTTTTTGAATGTCCAGAGGACCAGACCTATTTTTTTTTTACTATTTGTGCAACATGCATGGTAATATTTGAGAAAATGAAAATCATCAGCACTTTCCAATCTAAGCCTTTTCTACAGAATACCTTTCATTTCTCCTCATCTGTCCCTGAAAACACCCGAACTGCTACAAAAAAAAAAAACCTCTGCCTCTAACCCGCCACACATTTTAGCGCACATTAATGCCCCGAGGCTGTCATCTTGGTGCTTTTTGCTGAGGATGTAAGAACTTAAATCTTTTTCATTTTCTCTCCTCCAGTTCTGTTTTCTTCCATTTATAAGAGTCAGATGGCCGTAATGAAAGTTTAAACTCTCACTAAGAGTAAGCCCCCGTCTTCCACGCCTGGCAGACAAGGTTGCTAAGGCACAAACTATAATCTGGTTTGTGGGTTTTCAGTGAACAAGTAGGCACTTTTCCACCGCTGCAGAGCAAAAAGGTGGCAGGACGTTTCGGTTAAGCTTTTGATCAAGTGTCCAGCTGTCCTGACTCGATCTGAGATGCATTTCTAATCCAATTCCTCTCCTAACTCTCCACAGAAAGCGGAAATCGCTGTGGCCCCTTTGACTATCACGTTGGTCCGGGAGGAGGTGATCGATTTTTCCAAACCCTTCATGTCGCTCGGTATCTCGATCATGATCAAGAAGCCCCAAAAGTCTAAGCCGGGGGTGTTCTCCTTCCTGGACCCGTTGGCCTACGAGATCTGGATGTGCATCGTGTTTGCCTATATCGGCGTGAGCGTGGTGCTCTTCCTGGTCAGCCGCTTCAGCCCGTACGAATGGCACACCGAGGAGCCCGAAGAGGGCACCGACGGCCCGCCAAGCGACCAGCCCCCCAATGAGTTCGGTATCTTCAACTCTCTCTGGTTTTCCCTGGGCGCCTTCATGCAGCAGGGCTGTGACATCTCCCCCAGGTAAGACACGCTCATACAAATGTCGGCTTACTCTACCCACGTTAGGGAGCAGCAAGGCCAAAAATAATCACGATTGGACATCCTGTCAGACTGGATTGTGTGACGATCACGCAGATAACTTAGCCTCGACTCTGTGTGAGCGCTGTGTGCTTAAATCCCTCGTCTGTCAATCCAACTAAGTCCCTCATCAATATTTCAAACGTGTTTGATTGATGTAAATGGAAGCTGAACGGGTGTTGACACCCTGCTGTGACAAGCAGCGGTTTGTGACAGAGGTGTGGAAGAAACCCCATCAGTATGTTCTTCAAGCTTTAAGATTTTAACTTCACCAAACAGCCTTGGCATGAAAACAAGGTTCTGCAAATTTGGACAAAAAAAACACGTCTTTATCCTAAAATAAATTCCAGATTTTAACCTAAAGATGTTAGTCACCCTGTTTGTAGCGAATGAGCATATTTAAAAAATAAATAAATAAAGAAACTGTTTAAGTTTGTAGCTCCATTGATGCCTCACTCATAACCCACAGAAAGTGTTTTGGACATGGGTCACAGGGGCTGAAGGCTCACAGTGGGGGGCTCCAGGGTCCTAGTGATCAGCCACGGAAAGTTTGAGAGCTAGTACAAACTCAGTATGTGTCAAGTACTGGTTGATACTGGCCAAAGAGCCTCCATCATTAAATTCATGGGCGCACATACACCAATGCCTCAAACCGCCTCACGCTCCCGTTTTAGAAAAGCTAATATGGCTTTGTGCCATTGTTCGGCTTCTATTATCATCATATAGAAGTCCAACCTTTGTAGTTACGGCAAAAAGAGAGACTTCTTTCCCCCTACAATGCTACACGGCACGGATCAGTTCCTAGTTGTCTGTACTGGGAGTCTTGCTCCTCGTGTTGCGTGCCGTGTGAGCTGAATTCTCGCCACACAGAAAGGCCGAAAATCTGATATATTTCTGACTTGCGCAACACACAAATAGCAAATGTGGTGTACTTGTGTAGTACTTTCAAGGCAGGTCCGTTGTACGCTGACCATGCATGTATTTGTGCATTCTTAGGTCATTGCAAAGCCTTTGCTAGCCATGGTCCTGGCTTGGTTCAGGTGAACACAAGAGGTACAGGTTCTATGGTGCTGTATGTGACCTGCTCTGTAGCGTTTACATGATCAAGACCAAACGTCTCCGAGGCTGGTGTGCAGACTTATACAGGGATTGCCAAATGTTTTCCATAGTAGCACTTACAGTGGGTTGTGGGTGAGGTATGGATTGCTTCATATACGTTGCTGTCATGATAGTTTGCATGAGGACACATGTAATAGAAGTATTAAGGAAAAACTGTTTCCTCTGTGTGTTTTTGTGTTGCACTATATTGCTGCTTTGTGTGCTTTTGTCATGTTTTAGTTGTATTTGGAAGAAAAAAGAGCGCGTGCTGGTATTGATTTGGTGTGCCTCTTCATTATCTGGTTGTTCTCCGCTGTCTGACTTGTGTCCATTGTGTCTTCTCTCCCCTCGTACGTGAGTTCGGTTGTTTCAGCGTGTGTCAGCTTCAGCAGTTGTGTTGTCCAACTTGAGTTATGTTGTTTCTTTGTCTCAAACGCGTGACTTCTCCTCCCTTGTTCCAAGATGATAAAGCCCCGCAGCCTCGGGGCTTCGGAGCTGCAGATCAGCAGCGTCCGGTAAACGTTGGTAGAAGGGTGGAGAAATGATCCTGTGCAGTTAATTGTGCTGCTCGGAGGGATCTTTGTTCTTCCGTCAAAGATCGCGCTTCCTGTTTGTTTCCATTCTGAGACGCAGTGAAGCTCGTAGACCAGTAAGGCTTGTAGTTTTAGTGGTTTCTCGTTTATCGTAAGGCTTTTCTAAGCAGTTTGGATGGCTTTGTCAAGCTTAAAGTTCTTGCTGGCTATTTTAAGCAACTGCTAGAATGTCTCTTATATCGGCTCTTTCATATGAACCTTCTTTTATCTGTTAAGCCCTTATGGATGTTGTAGTGTAATAGAGTTGGTAAGATACTGGGAGATGAAAGGACAATCAAATCGGCCTGTATCTTTCAGCCCCAACCCCCTTCCCTACACCAGAGAAGAACAAAGAAACACACAAGATCGAGGATCTTGAGGTACATTAAAGCATCTTTGAAATTATAGCCCAACCTCATGTAAGCAGCCTATGGATGAGATTACAGTGGGCCTGTGTTTGTGATTAAGCACAATTTTTACAGGGGAGCTCCTGCTTTGTTCACACGTACAGACCACCCTCCACCCACCACCATAACCCCCTGCTGCTCACCACATCTCTGCCTGCGTGCCGCAGATAAGGGCTTTAAAGCCGTGCAACAATGTCGGTACCAGAACAGAGAGTCTACGTTTTACCCCTCTCCATCTCTGGCTGTGGTCTTTGCTGCTTTCCACCCGTCACCGCTAATCTCACCGGCCTCTCCCAGTCCATCAGCACTGAACCACCTCCACCTCGTCCAAACAAGTCAACCTGACAGGGCGACATGCAAATCGCTTCACAGTGGAAAAGTTAGGTTGAGCAGAGGAAGTGAGAGGAGCAGAGGTGAAACGGACAAACTTAAAGGAATATTCGTCTGAACGTTTATTGTCCCTCGATACAGAGCGAAAAGGGAGAAATACTCTCCGCCTGTCTGCCATGTGAGCACGACTACTACAAAACAATAAGTGGGGTACTGACTTACATTGTGGCTTAAGAAAGGATCCATTCAAAAAGTGGTTTCCCATGTCAAAATCCAAGATGGCCGTCATCATACATATATACATATATATGTTTAAACCGGCCACCCCTATTGTTTAAGTAAACTATGCTCTCTAGTTTTTAAATTGCTTTAAAGTATAGTTTCCCTAAATGATTGGGGTGTCCGTTGGGGTGGCCAAAGATTAATCTATGGGGGGGCCAAAGCCACCATTGGCTTCCCCCTGGCTCCACCTTTGCACCAGATGGAGGATAAAATTGCTCCCTCCGCTCGCCAGGATCTATAATTCTGCTCCACCCAATCGTACCCACTTGAATATCGTGCATCAAAAACATTAAAGTTGTCTCGCCTCAAAAACTGCAGACATTCAACTCCCTCAGTGACGGGGAACACCGGGGACCACAGTTTGGAGAAATCCTGTTTAATCCTGACTTGACTGATGAACGAACAGCTAGTCTGACCAGAGCCACAACCAACGTGGATCACGTTAAAATTTCATACATAGATATTTTAAATCCTTAACATTATTGTCAGGATCAGTATATTATTTTTCTGTCAAAATTGCCTAAAGATGTACCAGAAGTACTACAACCAGCTTATTGCGCAATATTCACTGTGTGTAGTGTTGAGGTGTAGATCGAAGCAACACTCTGAGACACGTTCAGTGCCTGATGTGTTCGTGTAACTCCTCTGGTTTTATATGCAAAAAGAAATATTGTTTTATTGGTTGAAATTCTACCGGCATTTTAAACTGGGAGCAAATGGGAGCTCCTGCACTCCTGTTGGGTTTAAACGGTTAAAGACAAATTTCCTGTAACGTCTTATTTTCTGTTGTAGATGCTGTAGATACTTTTACTTCCAAATATCCAGACATTCATGTAAATAATGGTAAAGTGACAGAAGTGTAAATGTTTATTTAAAAAAAACGTTCACTTGAAATGCTGTGAAATTTTGGACACAGTTTTGGATTGGTCCAATACTGGCCGATAATTCATCAGTCTGGTTTGAATTGAACACGTTTTTTTCAAAGAGCCATCTACAACAGGTAAGATATTTATTGGTTGAACCCTTTCTACGCAACTCCACTCCAAAAGATCTGAACTATTCCTGCATGCAGCACTTTTTCCTCCATCGGCCAAAATCAGGATGAACTAGACATTAAATCTTATTTGAAGCCGTTTAAGGTTTTGTTTTATCCGTGGTGAAAATGTTTTTGGTCACGTTTGTCTTTTTTTAAATTATGTACCGTATTTTTCCTCTCTACACGTCGCACTGCCCTATCAGTCCAAATATGTCTAATAAAGTAGAAAAAAACATAAAGTCGCTTCGCCATACGTCACATCTATTATGCGTCACCGCTGACAACCTGGAAACGTGGGCCGGTGTTGTGCCAAAAACCGATTGGCTGCCAAATGGCGGCCGCGGGAGCGTGCACGGGAGGACTTTAGCAAGAATTTAACAAGATTCACATTTAAAAGCAATTATTTGTTTGCTCAACTTTATAGTAAAGGTGTGTCTCGGTTGAACTGTTACTTAATAAAAGGACTTTAATGGTCAAACCAGCTGCATTTCAAAAGTATTCGCTTCCTCGGTGCTCCAGGAGCGCGCAGACAGGGAGGAAATCAGGAAGGAGGAACACTGCGCATTTCTTTGAAATTTAACAAGATAACCACCTAAAACAAGTATTTGTTTGCTTGACATTATAGTAAAAGTGTGTCTCAGTTTAAGTTTTCAAAAATAAATACACTTCATTGGTCAAATCAGCTGCATTTTGCTGAGGCGGCGCAGCAAAATGAAGCTGATTTGACGGTTGCTCCAAGCGAGCTGGACGAAGGTGGCTTGTATGGCAAGCAGATTGTGTCATTAATAGCCACTTTTACCTATTACATGACATAACGGCATGCCATACCACTCAAGTACCATCTAGCAGCTGAAAATGGTAGTTTTCAATATTTTCAGTCAGAATTAATGAAAACGGTCATGTCTCAGCCAAAAATTGTTTTTTAAATATGGGGAGAAAAACAAGTCGCTTCGGTGTATAAGTCGCAGAGCATGTATGTTCTGCAAAAAACTGTGACTTATAGGCCAAAAAATACGGTATATATATATTTATATATATAAATGCTGCATGCACACTCCCTCAAAACCTGTGACATCTGTGTGTGCTGTTTGACAAAACTGCACATTTTAGTGGCCTTTTATTGTGGTCAGCCTAAAGCACACCTGTAAATAATCGTGCTGTCTGATCAGCATCTTGATATGCCACACCTGTGAGGAGGCTGGATTATCTCAGTAAAGA